TTTTTTTAATTATTTCTTAGGGGATTTCTCTAGGAGATTGTGATTATAATTTTTATCATATTAAATAATTTTACAAAAGAAAGAAAGATGTATGGACATATGCCATATATTATTATATATACGTATTATATAATTATATACATTTATATATATTTATATGTCCATACATGAACAATTTTTTACCAGAATATGTTGTATAATAATATTAGTACTACCGGTTATGTTATTGTTGCAGTTCAAAAGTCATTTTTGCGTTTTCAAAACAACAGCTTATAAAATAGTAGACATGTATACATTCTGCATAAATCCTTCCATAACGAATTACGCAATATATATTTTATGTCATCAAATGTAGCGGCAATTGTGCACTATAAAACCGCACAGATCGACACACGTGTTTAGTTGAAAGTGTAAGAACTCGCACTTTCGCCATTCTCCTGCAATGCTGCTGCCACTAAACAAGTTTTTGATGCGCACTCAGTGCGGCTCAGTGAAAAACACTATTAATGCATATTAATGTGACAAGAGACATGGTGTTTATTGTTATCAAAACAAAAGAACACAAGATATAATGTATAATATGCGCGATGAATTCATAATACGCCAATAATTCGGAGCGAGAATATGTCTGTGTGTGATGAATATGTGTGTGGTATGTGATAAAGTAGTACAATAATGTGCGTGCGTGCGTGCCGTGAATCGCGAATCGTGAAAGCGATGTACGGAATATACTCTCCATACAGCATCGAAAGTTTTTTCAGAAATATCTCAGAAATATTTCAATTGAAAAGTGAAACATTTCATAAAAATGTTTCATTGTGAAATATGTCTGCAATATTTCTGAGACAGCTCTGAAATAGCAAAATGTTCGCGATTTTTGGACATGAAACCTTGTTGAAAGGTTAATGAAATGTAGAAATAATCTGCAATCTTCGAATTCCGTAAATTTTTTATTTTCCTCAACAATCAACATCCAAATATCCACTATAGATATAAAGGAAAACAGAAAACTCCCTTTTCTAGATGTTCTTATCTCTAAGAAAGCTGACGGTACTTTAAGTCATCAAGTATACAGAAAAATCAATACACACAGATATAATAGATACCTACATGCTGAGTCGCATCATCACCCAGCACAAAAACAGTCAGCAATCAATTCAACTTGTACATAGAATTTTCACCATTTCTGACAAAGAACATCTACAGATAAAACTCAACACTTAAAACTAGCCTTACAGAAAAACGGACTCGATAAAAAAGACATAACCAATTCAGCAAACGAGAATGGATTGAAATGAATTGAAATGGATTCAGATTTTCAGAAATATTGATTGAATGTTAAATTGAATGTTAAAATGAATGTTTTTCAATCCTAAATACATTTTTATTCATTTATAGGAATTGCATGGAGCATATCTCTATGCCTTTCGATCTAAAAATAATATTAGTTTTTTTCTGTGCAACACATTGTGAACTTCAATTCAAAATTTTGAATAGGAAATGCAGTTTTTCAATCCAATTGCATCCAATTGAATCTAATTGAATCCAATTGAATCCAATTAAACCCAAAAAAGTTTCGCTACTTAAAATACGCATTCGGATAGAAAAAAATTTCAATCCATTTTAATCCATTCTTATTTGCTAAGAAAATAATCAATAAACATGCAAACAAGACAACGGTCTCTGACACACAATCGGACGAAAGGATCCTATCTATTCTCCGATATGTTAAAGGAACAACAGATTGGTAGGATATTAAATAAACATAATATTCAAACATATCTTCGAACCACCCAAAAAGATAGGACAAAAAAAGGAATTAAAAAATCCTAAAAATTAAAGACCTCTACTCAGCTCCGTAGGAGTATACAAAATACCTTGTTCCTGTAGGCAAGGAATATACATTGGAGAAACCGGGAGAATGGTCAACCTATCGATAAAAGAACACCAACGTGATGTCAGGTAAAACACGCCTCGCAGTCAGCATTATCAGAACACAACACCGAAATAGGATATTAAATATTGTTTGACAAAACGACCACAATAGCCAACATTACACCATACTTTCCAAGAAAGTATAGAGATACAAAAACACCCTAACAATTTAAATAGAAATAATGACTACAACATAAATAAAATATGGAAGACCATTCTCCCGATTATTGAAGACTGATCAATTTCCTCCATCTCTCCCCCTCCCACTCACAATTCTTTTCTTCCCCCCTCCCCACCACTCCAACAAGCAGTTTAATATAAAAGGAACGGTCCGGAGGAACAGGGTGCTTCTCACCCTGATGAAGTGGACTGCAAAGTTCACGAAACAATGGCATTCCAAGAATGGATTTCGACACGGAGAAAACCCGCGAAACGTATAATCTTTATAATCTGCAATTTTTTGAAATATTACCAGAGGTTTCATTTCTAGTACTACAAAAATGATATATTTAAATATATACTTGATTATACTTAATTATATTTGATTATACTTAATATAATTGATTATACTTAATATACTTTGATTGATAATATATGAAATAATATTTAAGTTTAATAATATTTAAGTTGGCGATATAATTACTATTTTCGAGAAAGACTTTAAGTTTCAATAAGTTTTGTAATTTTTAATTTAGAACACAAAACTTTTAATAAATTTTCTGAAGTACTTAAAATTTATTAAAAGTTTTGTGTTCTATATTAAAAATTACAAAACTTATTGAAACTTAAAGTCTTTTTCGAAAATAATAATTATATCGCCAACTATATGGATTAATTAATTATATTATATAAATGTATAAACATTTATACATAATCACTATTAAAAATTCACACCTGCAGTTTCCACATAATATCATCCCAGATAGTCAAACATGATATAGCATGTTGTGCGAACTAATGCATTGCATATGTTGTTATATATTTGCTATACATTTGCTGACATCAAAATAGGATACGTTATGAATACAATAACATGACTGTTTATATGTAATCAGTTGTCGAAATTTCTAGAGCAAACTGTAAGCATAATGGTGATACATTATGTTGTCGGCATCATGACAGCAACTAATAATCAATCGTTTAATCTTGAGCATCATGATGAAAACATAACAGCAACAGAAAATATGTAATGATCTCCATCTGTTGTTGCAAATATGTCTTAATATTCATATACAAAATTTTTTCGCAATTAAAGTAGAACAAGTTATAATAACATTAAAATTACGTTAAACTAAATCGTTTGATATAAAAAAGATTTTTAATAAATATTTTTGGCCATTTAACATCGTAATTTTTTGTTCTGTTTAAATATTTTTTATTTATTGCATATGATAGATTTTAGAAACATTTCTGTTAAAACACTTCATATGACATATTGCAGAATCCTTTGTTGTATATGAGATGTGAAAGAGGTTGAAATATTTCTGAAAATTTTCCGCAATAATTGATGCTGTATGGGTCATAATGAATGTTACAGAGGTGTATAAGACACTAGATTTATGAAGTACCGCAAACTTATCTCCATTTTGACGCGGTCATTTCAAATTTATGCATTTGTATATACTGTAAACTATTTCCTAGAAGTGTAGTATGTACGTTAGTGTTCTAGAGTTCCTAGAGTGTACACAGTGCGACAAATATGTTCCCGGATATGAATCTCAGCAACCAGTGGCGACATCTGTGCGTTCAAACATGCATTTTAAAGGTTGAACATTTTGCTATCATCTGTCAAAGTTTCATTCATTTTGATTGACATATAACGAAGATATGACAGTTCATGTTAAACAAGATTTTGGTCGAGATAGAAATTTTAATATGGAACAAAGAGCAGTGATTAAATTTAACGCAAAACTTGGTAAAAGTGCATCAGAAACATTCCGATCGATGCAACAAGTTTACGGCAGTCAATGTCTAGGTCGTACAGCTGTTTTTGAGTGGCATAAGCGTTTTTTGGAAGGCAGAGAGACCCTTGAAAATGACAAAAAATCAGGACGGCCAATTTTTGTTCGAACACCCGAAATGATCGAAAAAGTACGTGATTTTGTTGCAAACGATCGCAATGCATCACTGATGCAAAAATGATGGAGGAGGCTTTAAATATCAGTAGAGAAACGATTCGAACCATATTACATGAAGATTTGGGTAAAACGAAGGTTTGTGCGAAGTTTGTTCCACACACATTAAGAAGCGATCAAAAACTTCATTGATTGTCCGTCAATGTTTGGCTCGAAATCGTGTCTCTGTGTTAAACCATCCACCGTATTCATCTGATTTGGCCTCCTGCGACTTCTCATTATTTCCAAAATTGAAATTGAAATTGAAAGGACGCTTTTTTGATGACATTCCGACCATCCAATCAGCTTCTACACAGGCACTAGAGGCAATTCCGCAAACTGAGCTAGAACATGCATTTGAATCACTATTGAATCGCTGTAACAAGTGTATTGAAGCCAGAGGAGAATATTTTGAATAATAAAACCAAAAAATATGCATATTATTGTTTCAATTATGATTTTCAGGCCCTGTCCGGGAACATATTTGTCTCACTGTGTATATCAATTGCACACGAGCCAATTGCGTACAAGCCAATCACAGCGCTAAAAAAAATTAAAATAAATAAAAAAAATTCTCTACGCAGAAGTCGCTGCGATTGGCAGTGGGCAATTGCTATAGTGTGCAAGTGAACCACTTTCGTTTTTCGACAATATACGAAGCTATCTGAAGAATACTAAGTGGACCAAGTTGGAGAATCAATCAGAAGTGCCATGGTGGAAGGGATAACATAGTGTGTATAGTTGGATAGTGTTTTTTTTCTAAATAACTGTTCTCCCGTCTATGAATTGTTTATAAAATGTAAGGGCTACCAACTATAAAACGCTAAATGGGGCGGTAGTCCCATAGTCAATTTATATTTTAAATAATTGTCTTAAATATAATGTCTTAAGATGCTAATACAGATCCTCGGATTGACTTATGACATCTTAAGACTGTACTTAATGACAGTACTTTTAAGACAGTCTTAAATGCAAGAATCGACTATGAATACCTGTTTCGCATCGTGAAATTGGTACTGAATTTTTTCTTATTTGACACACTTTATGTTTCTCTTTGTATAGAAAGAAAACCTAAGATGCATTATAACATAAGATATTATTATTATTTAAGACGATTTTAAAATAAGAACAAATTATGAATATCGCCCCATGTTTTGCGTTGCACCCTATTGACGACGCAGAGTAAAAGTAGGCGTGATCTGGCTGAACTGCACACATCAAGACTGTGTTCGGGCAGCGCGCTATTTATATCATCATACTATCCTGGTTTTATGTTTAATAGATGATAGAAGATAGACTGACACAAATAGCGCTAATGGCGTCTCTCCAAATACAGCCATGTAATCTTTCCACCATGAAGTTATGCCAACTCTGATTATAGGATCTCTATTTAGTGCTAGAGATCCTATAATCAGAGTTTGACGAAAGCGGGCACAACTTCTGATTGATTCTCTACCTTGATCCACTTGGTATTCTTCGGATAGTACATACAGTGTCGGAAAACGAGTACAAAGAAAAGAAAGAGATAGATAGCTACAAACAGATGAGTAGAAGCAGTGTCAAAGAAGTTAGAAATTGTTCCGATATCTCAAACGAAGAGAAAATTAACAAATTATAATTGCACAATTCGATTAATTGATTAACACTCGATTAGTTACATGACATTTTCCCGAAAAACTAGACTGAAAAATGTTGGTAGTAAGTTCATAAGTTTGTGATATGTGCTTATGGACAAACTTATGGACTTACTACTTTAACAGTGTTATTTAACAGTGTTAATCCGTACAAATTAAAATCATGTTGCTTAAGAGTTTTTGTTAGTATCAATATTTTTCAGTCTAATTTTTCAGGAAAATGTCATGTAACCACTTAGTTTCTTCAGGTATTGTCGTTAGGTATTCTAACACTTTTTGCGCATGCGTTCATACGAAAAAGCAACATCTGTTATCTCTTTCTCCGCCATTTTTGATTCACATTTGCCAAACTCTGATTATAGGATTTCTATTTAATGTAATATAAAGACGACATTTAGTGCGATGTTACTAGCGTTTTCGGTCCGACTGGGTTTGCACCAACTTGGGTTAGAAAATTCTTCGCTATTGGTTGACGTTACACGCTCTATCAATAAGAGAGCACGAAACATCATTCCTTCAATCCAAATTAGTGCAAACTCGGTCGGGCCGAAAATGCTATAAGAAAGTTGATGGGACATCTGTTTCCTTCGGGAAAAAATTGATTGACAGGTGTGATATATAAGTCCTGGCGCGAGAGAACATGGTGTCTTTCCACTTTATTTTACTGTGCTCCAAGAAATTATCTTATAATTATTGGTGTGATTCCGGAGTAATTGATCATTCTTGTATTTCGGTAAATTCGGAGTGAGGCCTAATACCGTATTCGAGGCAGTTAGTATATTTGAGATTTCAGAGTAATTATTTTTGTAACCGGAAATCGGAGCACTGGTGGAAGAACATGGTAAGTAATCGATAATTGGCATAGAACGTCATAGAAGGTTCTCGAACTCATAAAAATCATTTGAAAAAGTGTAAAGTTCAATGAATAAAGAAATTGAATTAAAAATATTTCAGTTTCTTTTCCCTGTAAATGTCTCGTTTATTTCATAACAGTAATTAATCTTTGACTATATAATATGGACTATTAGCGGCAACTTCAGATTAGAATGAGTATAAAGAAAGTGGCGCCAATACATGTGCCTAATGCTGATTGGCTCCGCCATTAAGTATCCTTATAAATGTTATAAAGAAACAACGTTAAAGAAAGAAGAAGTTAAGACGAGATTGTGGACGATGCTCAGTAATATATTAAAAAAATGATTACTTAAAGATTGTAAAAGAATTAATACTGTAAAAGAATTAATACTTTCTCTACATCCAACTTTGACCACAGTTACCGCACCTCTTACTTACAATCAGTAATATCCTTATATTAGTTACAAAAGCGTTCAAATAATGGAATTGCCGAAAAATTAGCTGGAACTGGCTGTTAAGAAGTACTTTACTCTTGTAAATGGTCTTGTAGTGCAGTGCCAATTCGAAACTTTAATAATCATTAAAAAGTATTTGAAGACCGGAACTTTGCGCGAAATCTATAGAAATCGTTGAGACTATTGTAGAACTATAGGAAAATACTAAAATTTTCGCTGGAAAAAAGTACTTTACTCTTAACATTAAAAGGTACTTTACTCTTGACGTGCGGTGCCAGCACGCGGGTTTTATTATTATTTTAATATATTTAGCGGTCGGAACTATCGTTTAAACCTATCAGGAACTATAGAACTCATCGAGAATTATAAGATTTCATGGTTTTGAATTGATTTTTTGAATCTTGTGGTGCCACGAGAAGTTAGCACTTCAAATTTTTAATGTTATTATATTTTAGCTAAATCAACAGAACTTTCTATAAAACCTATCAGGAATTGTAGAACTATTACGGGTGCCAATGAAACTTGTATTAAAACTTGCGGTACCAAAAGATGGGCTGCCAACTTCACACACGTCAGACTTTTCAGTAAAATTTTTTCAACGAGATACTTCTTAATCCTTCTTAAAGCTATTTAAAGTGTCTACTGCATTCATGGAAGAATTTTTTTGATTAAAAAAGTTAGTCCTTTATTCTATTATATATAAAGATACATATTTTAATATCTTTTTATATTTATACGGAAAATACAAATATTACAAACAGACTTCAAAAAATACTCTCTGTAACTTTTGACTACTCATAGTATAAAAAATAATGATTTGACAAAATATACATATTTTTGTGCTATATCTGTCTTGAAAATGTATATTTTTGATAACCATGCATATAATGATACAAGATATTTCTATTGCAAATGTCTGTAAACGCTTTGTCCTTTGATAATTTTTGCTGATAACTAGTTGTGCAATGAGTTGATGTGTCTAAAGCGAGCAGTGCCGTTTTCACCGTTAGCATGAATTCTCGTTTTTGCATATTTATTCTTTTCTGTTTCGCGGGTAAGTATCATATCGCAAATTTTATAAATATTATCTAAAATTATGAAATCTAACAGGATATTTGCATTACGGATCTTTGAACAATGAAGTACAAAGGATCATTAATGGATTAGATACCAATATCAATTTAGTTCCTTATATGGTAAGGATGAAAGATTACATATCTATATCATGTGTAAATAAATGTTAATGTAAACAAATGTACCGTTCGTAAATTTGAGAACGCTTGCCATATTTTTGCAATTCATAAAAATTTAAGGATTTTAGTGAAAGTAATCATAAAGAAGTTTTCAAAAATGTTTTAAAAATACTTTAAAGAGGAAAAATTGCCATTTGAACTTTGTCTTCGATGATATAACTTTCCTAAATTATATATTTGCATGTCTGCGAATTTCTCTTTGTTTTTATAAAAATCAATTATTATAAAAGTTGTAACTTTTATTTGTATTATATTATAAAATAAAGAAGATTTTGTTATATAAGCTATTATAGAGTTTATGAAGTGGAATACTATATATTGGATTAATAGGATCTAAAAATAAATTTCTTTATATCCTTTTATTTACATTTGTACATTTATTTACATATTTACATTTTACATATACCTATATATGTAAAATAACATAATATGTAACATAAGTAAATAAATGTACAAATGTATATAAATGTATATAAAAGAATATAAAAGAACTTACTTTTCCTTTATATAGGTTCTATTAATTCATTATACAGAGTGAATAAAAAATCCCGAACCGGTAAATATCTCGAAAACTAAGCATTTCTGAAAGATTTTCTACAAAAGTTGTTTTAAATGATCTATTCACTGGTCTAGTCGGTCTGATCTTGTACCTCTTATTTTTATTTTTACGTCAAAATGAGTTCTTAGTGCAAAAATGAAAACAACTTCCATTTATGTGGTCTTGATTTTAACAAATGTTATTTAGGACATAATCCTGAACAATATTCAAGAGATTTTAACCATCGTCGGACACTTTGCGTAATGCTAATGCCAGTGGTACCGTAACTTTCAAGCCTTGTAACTCAAAAGTATTTAATAAAAAATAACTTTATAGTGTTTTGAAAACTCTTGACACTAGATTCTGGCATAAAAAATAAGGTCCCATTTAAAACAATCAATTTGACTTGATCTTGGCCATCCAAAGTCAAGGGGATGTGATCAATGTATAGATCTTTTTAAACCCTATAACTTTTGTTTGAAACATTTTTCTCAAAAATGCTTTGCTTTCGGGATGTTAAACCATTTCTAAACTTTTGATACACTCTACATATATACACGATAGATACTTTTAATCTATGAGAATGTTTCTTATTTTTCTTATTCTAAATATTACATTAATGTCAATTAATGTTTTTAGTACTGTATTATACTGTGATCTAGCAGCGCTAAGTATTTACTTTTCTTGAGCGTATTATCATATGAATATATGTATTTTTGGATGTGTTATTTGCTATTTAACATTTTATTTGACTATATATTTTGAGTTATGCAAATTTAAACAATAGCATAGTATTTTGCTAATGTGGTCCTCTCTGGATATTGATTATTTATGATCTCTTTTTTGAGGTTTTCATATCAAAATAATTATTTGATAATCAATTGTAGCTCTACTGTTAATCTATAGTTTATACATGTATTATTTTTAGTACTGAGATTTTTAGTTCTAAGCAGTTTATATGTAGAAGTTATGTGAATGTATATACATTCATTTGCATACATTTTAAATGTTTTACTTTTTTGTAACCAAATACTGTTTTCTAAATAAAACTAATATTTTAAGATTGTTTTTATGAAAGGCCACATTACCCACATTTTTTTCTTTTTTATGCAATGTCGCCACATTTTTATTATATAGTATCCTAAGTAATAAATATTTCGTAACTTTGAGTCCAGAATCGATTCAACAACATTTTAACGAATGTAATTGTCAAGTTTTAAACTTAAACATTGATTATTAACAAAATTATTGTGTAAAATGTAACTGAGGTGCTATAATATCACCTTCTTCTCTTAAGTTCTATTCGAGGAGAATTTATATTTTTAGCGCCTTTTTTTATCTACTTTTTTAAAAAGGTAATCTTTTATACAAATGATACATAAAATTTTGTAGAATTTAACTTGGCGTTGTTGATATCAAATCTTTTATATAAATGATACATAATAATTAAAGTTAAGTAAATAACAAAGATGGTATCACTTTACTTTAATTTGACGGAATTTAACTTGATTAGTTAAGATTGTACATTTGTAGTGAGTTTTAATTCTTATATTAATTTAGTACAATACTTTTTTCGAGAAGTAATAATTTTTGACAGAAAATTAAAGCTGTCATTACTTGAATTGGAATAAGAGGACTTTCGATAAGAATATTTCTGAAGAAGATTTTTACTGCACTAAAATGTAATTTTATAAAAAAAAGGGGATGTATAAACATCTATGACATGATATATTTCACATATAATTATAATTTCATATATAATATGTTTATGAATGTTATACGTGTTTGTGTATGTTTATACATATTTATGCATGAAACATTTTTTAACGAGGGCACATAAGTTTATTTTCGTTCGATCCTCTTTTGTATTAAGTTATAAACAAATAAAATGTTACGCTCGCTGTGCGTTATCCGCTTCATGTAACCAAATTTGTATGAAACTATTACATTATTTTATTATTTATATGTTATAATAAACAAACAGCAATATAACGGCATTCATTACATGTTATGTAATAATTGTTTCATTGTTATTAATATTATGTAATTGTTTATATTAATATTATGTAATTTAAATTATGGTTTTAACGTCGTTTAAATTATGGTCTTTATCCGCGACGTCGCGAGCTGTGTGCCAGTTAAGCTTCAAATTGTTGAGCGCGACAATTTGTACTTGAATGAGAATTTACGGACAAATGAGTATTACTTATGCTATAGAAGAATATTACTAGTGAATTCAGTCGCTTGCATTACAAATTATATCAGTGCATACTAAAAGCTATTCCAAGGAATTAGTGAAGTTAAATGTAAAAGTGGTAATTGTTGAGCTTAGCCTTCACACTTCCGATGTTGATTATGTTCATTCGATGGGTTTTTGCACGAAATGAACAAATTTGATAAAATATCGCTCTGTAATAGATAGAGGAGATATTAATCGTTACAATGAAGACTATTCAGATTAGGAAATCTATATCATCAATGGCATAGAGATAAACATGAAAACATGTAAGTATTATCTGCTTCGCAATATTATACAAATTCTTTGTTTTAAAAATAAATTCTCTGCTTTAGATTTATATTATATTTTATATTGATAAGGATCCGAATTGAAGGATCGAAACGTTTACTTTTATTCGTTTTGTTACATTCACGCGAAAATAAAGAGTTTTCTGTGCATCCGAATAGTTTACGGCTCTAATGGGCTTTTTTATATTTTTTACTGATAGATTCTTTCGAACCTCATTTTATATATTTGTTTAAGTGAAGTACTTGCAGTACTGGGCATTTTAATTTTTTTTATTGTTTTCCATAGGGAATAGCTACTGTCCGCTCTTGTTGAGAGATTCTCAAGATAGTTCTTATTAATGTTTTTCTTTATTAATCTATTTAATGCTGATATGATTAAAAGTGTTCTTATCTGTTGGATGATTTTTGCTATACACGTCTTGTTCTACTTCTTTCTCTTATCATCTCTCTAATTTCTACTGGGTAACATGTTTCCTGTATCATAATGTTATTTGGAGTTGGCGTTGAGTTTTTTGCTGCTTTACAAATTGTTTCAGTCAGGCATTGTGCTTGTTTATTTACCTCTTCTATAGATTTAAGTCTTACTTTCAGATTTATCATTTGGTCCAAATCCTCCCTGAATTTGTCCTAGTTCGTGTGCTTGTTAGTAAGCGTAGTTCTTTTTTTCTTTCATATGAGGAATTTAGCGTTAGTATTATAGGCACATGGTTCGAGGAGAGATCATCTATATTATCAATTTCGGTATAGCTTATTGAAACTCTTTTCGTTATATAGAAGTCAATTAGATCCGGCATCCTGTCCTTGTCCTTTTTCGCCAACATGTTGGTTTACCTGAGGAAAAGAATTCGCACTTAATGATCTTAATCGCTTTCAATAGCGCTCTACCCTTTAAAATAATTAACCGAGACCTCCATACTGTATGCTTGGCATTGAAGTCTCCTTCGATTATAAAGCGTGATCCCAATTTTCTCAATACTTCCTCGAATTGTATTTCTTTAATGTTATGTCGAAATGGACAATATGCTGCTATATTAAGATCCGCGTTGTTGTGTTGCATCGTGATCATAGTGGCCATAGGAATTCCTTTCTAATTTCCTCCTGCGCAAAGTGCTTTACATTGTTTTTGACAATAATGGCTGATCCTGCATGAGCTTTATCATTGAGATGAGTCGTGTGATACCTTAAAACCAAACATCTTTAGGTGGCTTTTGCTAGTTAAATGCATTTCCGAAATTAATGCAATGTCTACATTCTTTTGTTTTAAGAAAATTTATCGTTTTTTGCTTTTTAAAGTCAGGCCATTCGCGTTCCAGATTATTATCCTAAATGATGTATCTCTATTCCTTGTGTTGACATAATTTTCAGAAATCTGCATATTTCCTTTTTCCGTTTTCTATCGCTCAGTATTAATATGCATTTGCTGAATTTTTTATAACATGTTCCACATATCTTGATGACTTATTGTATTATTTAGTCCTTCCTTTGATTCTATTAAGAGCGTGGTTTTCTTTTTTATTATTCTAGCATAAGATTCGGATGAGGTTACTTTTTTAGCAGATGTTCCATTTGCTGGATTCGCTGTGTCACAATCATTCTTGGTTGGGATATTAGTTTTTCTTTGTACATTGGACATCCCTTCCAGTTCATCGTGTGCTTCCCTCCATAATTAGCGCACTTGCATTTAGCATTTTTTGATTTTTTGCAATCTGAAGAGAGATGTTTCCCTCCACATTTGACACATTTAATTTTTCTCTGGCAATAGTTCTGCGTGTGTTCCAGACTTTGGCACCTTTTACATTGCGGTATTTCTTTCTTAATTCAAGGTGGCTCAATTTTGATTTTACTGTGTTCTATCTTATATACTTCCTTGTTATTTAATTTAAGTGAGATTCATAATTAATCTGTTCATCATTTTTTGTACCTTGCATCGTTTTGACTAATGCCTCTAGGTAGTTAATTCTTTTCTCCGCTTGTCTCCATACTTTCCATAAAAGGATCTCATTTTGCGTTTGTGTACGAAAGCATTTATATTATCACCAAGCAATGGTTGCCCCCCTCCTTCCAGAATTGGGTAATCTGCGCGACAGGAAGATATGTACAATGCTACGCATAATATACGCATAAAATGCAAAAAACATATAGAAAACACAGAAAACTTATAAAACTCTTCTAATCTAAAATAACCTATAATTTTATTATAGATTAGACTATAGTCTTATTCGTCGGTTTCATCGCTTTTGAATAAGTTTTATTAATACACATATGTATACATATAGGCCGGTATTCATAGTTGATTTTTTATATTTGAGTACAGTCTTAAGATGTCATCAAAGTGCAACATTAGTATCTTAAGATATTACTTAAGATGGTCTTAAAATATAAGAATCAACTAAGAATATCGCCTATAGATACAAAAAAATTAAAATATGAGCTAAAGAACGATATTCACAATTTCATGTGTTTCATGATCATGGACAAATGTTTGTATTTTGTCTTGTATGCAAAATGGTTATAAAATATAATAATGAGAACAGTAAGAATTGTGACTGCGATGCGAGCAAACGCTGCGACTACATTTATACTGTAGTCACATGCGCATGCATTTTAAGTATTTTTCATTGAAATATAGAAGGCACGAAATTTGATTAATGAGTTTACAACATATTAAAAATAATAAAAACTGAAAAGATTAGATAGACCCTTCTGGATTTCTTTTCTTCTTCCTTCCTCTATCATTTTTTGCTAATAAAATAAAGCTATATATAATAATATAACCTTAAGCGAAATTTTCTGCATGAAAGAAGTTTTGTACAGCAGAAAACCTTATTTAATTATCTGTGCAGAATACTCGAGTTTCCTGCGCATAAAATTCTACTCATAAAACTTAAGGTATTATGTATACCCAACCCTGCCTCTGTCTAGGGACGTACGATTTGTCACGTGAAGCGAGGTCCACGTTACCTTTCCCCTAGTCAAAGGGCGATCGACTTTCTGCTAGACAAGAGGGAGTGAACTTTGCTTCACGTGGAAAGTCATACGTTTCTAGGGAGGGGAGAGGTGGGTTGAACCTCTTTTCACGTGGGAAGTCGTATGCCTGTAATATATAGAAATAAGACATTATAATTTTTTTTAAATAATTTTTTTCACACAATAATTTTTTCTCACAATAATTTTTTTTTTAAATTTATTTGCTAATAACTTTTGAACAAATAGTGATTGCCTAAAACTTTTTGAAAGTCACTTACAAGGAGATGGTACGAAATGCGAAATATGAATTGGAATGTGTTATTCCATGCCTATACCATTTGAAAGACGGGGTCGAGAGTATAAAAAGTGTAAAAGGATGCATGGACTTTTGTTTTTTATTTATTTTATTCATTTTATATTTATTTTTTTCATCATTATATAAAAGTCATCATTATCATTATATAAAAGTCGGACATTGTCGTACAATGTTGTAGGTTTTTTTTGTGAGAAAACTAACTGTGCGTGTATAAGAGTCAAGTAAAACGAGCATTTTCGTTTACCATCACATGGTTCAAGATCAAGTACCTGTTCTCTCATGCGCGTATGTGTACTTAGAAAACTATTAGCTTTTGGAACTACGTAAGGTTCTCTTGAGTTAGTTTTCTTACGAATACTGATCGGTGAGGAAGTCTCTCAATTCTTGTTTGTTTATTTCGATACACTGACATTGCATTTTATAAACGTGGATCCTTTCTTGATAGAGCAAGTTAAATACTGGCAAAATCTAAAGAAGATTTAACCGATAGCATATTTCAAAGGTAAATATTTTGTAGATTTTTTAAGCATATTTTTACTAGAACATTTGTCTAAAAAACCAATGTACATACGTAATACCTACGTTTTTTTAATTGCTGAAAACATCATTGCCATTTAAAGTAAAATGATTGCCATGTATGACAATGCCATGGTGACAATGTATATGTTACGGAGAAGTCTACAAGTAATGGATACGGTTTCAAGTTCGTGAAACTGAGTTTAGAAGTGATCACAATATTTATTTGACTGATGTGCTGCACCGGATGTATCGTCTGCTAAGCTTTCATGAACATTCTGGAATCGTATTCATTACTAGATTGTTTTCCGCTGCATATAATTTATCACCATACACGGTAATTATCCTATGATGAATATCAATTGGCATGATGCTTTCAGCATTTAAAAAACGTATTACTGCACGTTGTTTTCTATCAAGCAAATTTTTCAGTAAAAACGCCATTTTTCCAGAATTATTTCGTTTTCTCTAAAGAAAACATAATAAAAATCTAGAGACTAATTGATCAATTACGATTGGAATTTATTCCGAACAATCCTAATATGTTTATTCTGAATGGTAAAAAACTCTATACTCGTTAAAAGGAGGTCGGACACATGTGACATCGCATACGTAATCAATTTTAAATATGTATAAGTTATACAATATAATAGATTTTTTTATACCGAGAATGATTGCTACAGTTCCTGCTACCTTTTCGTTTGACTAAACTAATATCTTCTAAAATATGTAAAAAATATTAAAATTTCAAATTTGTTCAAAATTAGAGCGATTAAGATTATATACATAGTAAGACATTTTTGTTCTTTTAGTTGTCGCTGAGGTTAAATGATGAACATGTGTGCTGTGCTGCTATAATAAATGAGGAATGGGCTGTGACAGCAGGTCATTGCATGAAAATGTAAGTAAAATAACAAATTTAGAAATAATGATTTGTTAATCATTAATAAAAAGTTAATGTATATTGTAGAACTGACGATCCTATAAAAGAGATTACCTTATGTAGTGGATCTTCCATTCTTTATGAGAATTGTACCGTACATAACGTAATCAACTTTTTCATACATGAAAGCTTTAACAACGATATCAATGACTATGACATCGCTGTTATACAAGTAACACCTGCATTCATATATAATGATCATACTAAAGCGGTTGACTTGGCGTCAAATAAAAATGTTCTTAGGAAATGGGGTATAGTCTGCGGTTGGGGATTCTATCTGGTAATAATAAAGTATTCCGACTTAAAATAATATTGGCTATTTAAACTGTCATTCTTTTAATTTACTTAACATCTACAGGATGTTCGGTAACGATTCTTTCGTGAGCATGGGAACCTAACGCGGGAAAACGTTTTCTTTTGCCGCTTATGTGTTGCTTGGAATAAACAACTCGCGGAATTAATCAATCTACGAGATTGAATGATCGTAAAGATCCTCAAATAAGAGATTGGACACCATACATTTGGTATAACTATATTTTTGAGGACCTGGTTAAGAGAATCCCAAAGTCGTCTGTTTTATTGACTAAACACGTATAATTTTTGTGATATATTTTTGCATATACTTTTTTTTTACACTTGAAAATCCCAGAATTAAAGCAGAATAACGGAACGATTAGGAAACAAGGATCTATATGGTCAAGCTAGATTTTTTTGGTGCTAAAATAATTCTGTGTGAATTTATATACTACATATATGTAGTCTTTTTTTTACTAACTGCGCGCCGAAATTATTTTCGATCTTAAAACGCAAGCCGATTAAACTATTGCTGTAACATCAATAAATTAAATTGACAAGCAATTTAATAGTTTGATGCTCTATTAGTATCCTATTAGAGAAATTTTAATAAAAATATGTGTTGAAAATATGTGAATAAATTTCGATCTGTAAAAGAAAAGACTATATATATCATACATGTATTTATATTAATTATGTATATGTATTGATTATGTATATGAATTCACACAGATTTATTTCAGCACTAAAAATCTAATTTTATTTTTAGTTTTTTTATTGAAAACTTTATTTAAAGCTATACCATGGGCGTATCGTGTAATTATTTTCGGGGGAAAGGATTTCAATCAACTCAGGGTACCGTGCACCAATCGGAATGAAAAAGGATTTTGCTATTGCACTGAACAGAATGTCACTGCATCAATTTTGTTGTTGTGATTTACAACAATTTTTAATGTTGTAAAAATAGTCAAATGGAATTCATTAATATTATTAATATTACTATATATATAATATTGTTCTTCTTTTAAAAAAAGTATTTAAAATGTTACTTTTTTAAATACTTTTTTTAAAAGAAGAACAATACTATATATATAGTTACTACTAGAATGTATTAATTATAGCGTATATTCTGTTTTTCAGGACAAAAAATCTTACAAAAATTTTCCTTACGTATCACATATTAAAGCTCGAACTAACAGAAGTATTAAAAATTATTTATATGATCTTATAATGAAAAGAAAAAATATTATAACAGCAAGAACCTCACACAAAGTAAAAAGGAAAATTGTATGTTTTTTACATTTAATAAACATCGCCAATTCAAAATAAAATATTTTCATTAGTAAAGTGAAAAATTATTAGACACCAACTAATGTGAGTGGATGTGTGCTATTTCAGGATGTGTGCTAACGGGACCCTCTCCAAATGAAATAATTATTTAAAAATTTCGGGTGAGGGGAGTTTACCCTCTCTCCCCTCCATAAAGCATATCTATTAATACGTGTTTGTGAAGTAAAGTTTATGTCGAGAATGAAAAAAAAATTGAAATTGGGATTTTCACTTTTATAGTTTAATATGGCGTCTAGAACTATCAAGTCTTGTCAACAGTTGCTTAATATGTATAAAAGTGTCATGAGCGCAATTGCACATGACCTAATAAATGATAACGCGTTTAAGGTAAGAAACCGAATTATGAAACTGAAAAAAGAATAAGAAAATGAAAACAAGATTATGAAATATGAAAACTAAATTAAAATTCATTAAATGAAAACTAATGCTCGATGCGAAACCCAAGTATTCACGGAAAAATGAGTGTGAAGTTTTAAAAAATAAAATATTGAATATTTATCAAACATTTAATAAATAGTATAGTCAGCAAGTAAAATCGTTTATTCGAAATTTTTGGAATCCTCGCAATCTTCGGAAGGTTTATACAGTTTAGAATGATAAATATCGTAAAAACATTGGAAACATAACATCAATTTACAATGAGCATTGTATAAAGCCAATGTTCTTACATATGCATATTTTTTAAATATTGTAATTGGAAAACATATTGTGCTGTATTAGACCAGAGAAATTCGTAGTATCGACAGTATCAGACAACGTTATGAGTTAAAAAGGAGACAAATAGATACGGAGACAGTAATATGTGGAAAGGGGAAGGAGAGAAGTATTCGGAATAGGAAAAGGAATGTATGAGATGTTAGAATATGTTTCCGGCAGAGATTCCGTATCATTTTGCTTGTTAATTCCATGTTTCTTTTTATACGGACCATTTCTGATATTAATTGTTGTAAGAGGATTCAATGTCCAAAATTTTAACGTTATCCCATTTAAAATTGTGATCAATGCGGTGGTTGGAAATCACTGATGACGGTTTAGACCTTCTATTAATATCGGAAGCTTATTCCTATAATCTTGTCTTTAATTGTCTTTTTGTTTGACTCATATAACTAGCATCTCAATTATCACAAGAGATCTTATAGATTACGTTTTGATTACATAATGGATCCAACCCAATCTTTCCTTTTTAAATAAAATTTTTAAGTAAATTCGGAATAGGCTAATTTATAGTTGTATTAACAATTGGAGAGAATTTCTCAAATATGGATTTCACGTAAAAAATTGTGAAAAACTTCTCCTTAACTTTTTTTTTTAACAGTTCTGTTGATATTATCCATATAAAATTTAATTCTTTTCTGTACAGAGGAAAAGATGAATTGTAGTGGATATCCATTATTTAAAAAAATGTTGATAGCATTAATTAGATTGGTTTGCTGGAAACGAGGATGACATATAAGTGTATTATTTTATTCACAAATCCGTAGATTACGCCTCTTTTATAATAAAAAAGTGGATGGTGTGAATTAAAATTGAGAAATCTGCCGGAAAAAGTTGTCTTGCAATATCCGTTAAAAACAAAGCTCTGTTTCTCAACCAATAACATAATGTCCGAAAAACTTAATCTACCGTTAATGTCAATCTCCATAGTAAATTGTAATCTAATATGTAAAGAGTTAAAAATTTTCAAAGTATTATTAATGCTCTCTGTTGGAGCCACTAAAATGATGTCATCCACATATCGAAAATAAAACAACAATCGTATAGGTAATCTCAATTGCAATTTCTTCCTGCATAACTATATCAGTAACAATTGGGGACAAAGGTGACTCCATAGGAGTCCCTAAGATTTGTAAAATTTTTTGTTAAACATAAAAAAAGTGGAATTTAACACTAAACCGAATAACAATCAAAAATTCTTCCAAAGGGATTTTCTTGAAAAACTATTTATTATTACTAACTACTCCATCATCATCGCCATTGGTGATTTCCAACCACCGCATTGATCACAATTTTAAGTGGGATAATGTTGAAATTTTGGACATTGAATCCTCTTACAAGAGATTAATATTGGAAATGGTCCATATAAAAAAACAGAAACATGGAATTAACAAGCAAAATGAAAATCTCTGCCGGAAGCATATTCTAACATCTCATACATTCCTTTTCCCTTTCATAATATTTCTCTCCTTTCCCTTTCCACATATATATATATATATATATATATATATATATACAGTCTCCGTGTCTCCTTTTTAACTCATAACATTGTTTGATACTGTCGATGTTACACGTTTCTCTGCTCTAATGCAGCACAATGGCTTATAAAATTTTTATATTCATTGCATTATTCTTTTACTTTTGACTTACAACAATTTGATTGAAGAAATTATTTATAGTTTTGTACGTTAAATATGCTCATTTATTAATTCGTTCATTTTTAATCTACAATTGATATTAATGTTAACATAATTCTAACAGTTTTTCTATGTATTATATGTTTAAAAATTTTTTCTTTTGTTTGTCTATTTTTAATTATTGTTACTTGTTTTTTTTATACACGGTAATTATTTATTAATTGTATTCGGAACTTAACTGGGTTTTTTGAAAGCTTTCTTTTAAATAGTTTGCTTTTCATACAAGAAAAATGCGAATATTACGAACGTCCCGATTATATTGAGCGGTTTCAACATCTCACTTTTAACATCTCAATGGACCACATATTCGTAACCAAGAAGGATAAGCATTTGATACGTATCTACTTTTTTAAGCTACTTTATAACATACAGAATACTGTTTTTGTAATGTAAGAATCCGACATTTATTGTAACATTATTTTAACATTGAAAATGACCCGATAGGGTCGAGTACGTTTGTACTTTTAACTAATCTAGTTTTAAATATTAAACTTTTAGTTTTAATTAGCTTGTAGCTCTTGTTATTACCTATATTTGTTATATTTATTTGTATTTGTAAATATGTTATTAAATAAAAATAATAGTTATTAATCATTATTAATCATATTATTAATCATCAGTGATAATGTACGGTTATAATTGTACAATTTCTGTCGTTGGATCAAGCGACGAATAACTAAGTCTAATAGAGAGCGCATAAGTCAATTGTAAATAGGAAATATAAGATTTAAGAACCACAAAACGCGGGAATCGAATGGAGGACAGTGCGCACAGGAAGAAGGCATATATAGAATGCGTCACCAAAATCCGAACAAATTTCAATTTAAATTTTTCGCTATATTGGCTTCCGCCAGAGGTTGTTGACGTCCGAGAAAGCCTGATGCTTCTAGTAAACAGTCATATTCTCAAAATGGCCGCGATGTTGAAACCAAATACGGAGTATCGAAGAGTTGTGATTGAAGGCCTTCGCGCTAGGCGCTCAGCCCAACGGAAATAATTCGGTTTTTTGGATATCCAAGCTCAACTGTTTATGACATTGTGGCAAAATATACGGCTTTAGAACAATCCAACGAACGTTCCAGTATGCCAGCGAGAAAGAGTCACTCGAAAGAACGCACCGCGAGGATCCCTGCAGTCGTTGAAAGAGCTCAAGCGCTGATTTCGGATGACCCAGGGCAATCGTTGCGAAAATTAGCATCGATTGTTGATGTAAGCGAGCTAACAA